AAGGGTGAATGTTGAATAGATATCTTTTGGATGATTTTGTTGCTTATTTACAGGTATGAGTGCATGACTTGCTCCAAACGCTGCCCTACACAACATGCAACAGTTATATGTGAAGAGCAACATTGCACAGAAACGTTTCAAAATACCACAGATTTTTCAGCAATAAAAAAACAACATACCTCAGCTCCCACCCTTTAGATTTGCAAAACCTATTCCCACACGCCCAGAAATACGAGACCAGGATCACATCAGCAGCAGAAGGCAGAACCATCACTATATTACAGACCAGGAACATCACAAGAATTGATAGAAATTTAAAGAGACAGTCCATTGACTTAAGATTCCAAACAAATCATATTTGAAACAGATAATCTTGAGGAAATGTGTACAGAAAACAGAGGTACGAACTTTTTTACTTTAGTATGATGCTAGTCTTACTTTTCAATTTTGGGAACATTGGGAGGCATAAAGAATTGATTAATAATATGAATAAGTTTTTAATGCCTTGTCTTCAATCATGTAGGTACGTCTGAGAAGAAAGGAAGGAAAAGGTGGTCTTCAGAAGCATCTGAGACGTTGACATTATTATTTACAGAACACTTTAAGCAATTAGGAGGCAAAGCAGTGCAGAGATAAAAAAGGCATAAGATAATTAGCATTAAGAAAACATTAGTAAGAGTCTCAGTTTCATGAAATACACATTATATAATATGTAATAGATGTTTTGAAACCTAAGAAATCTCTAAAATAGTTTCTTAAATATGATTACCAAAAACATGACATTACAAAAAGAAAGAAAGAAAAAAGAAACATGAAATCTCCCAAAAGAGCGAATTTCACGCGCGACATTTCTCTTCTCCCCGACATGTTTAAATGATAACGGTAGTGATAGAATAATGAGTACGACAGTTTTTACTGAACATTATTGTCGCGCCGTGTGGCAGCGGAGAGTGTCGTCTTCGGTACGGACACGGTGGATTAGGATTAAACTAAATACGGCATTAAGAGTTAAGGAGGCTACAGAAGACGCCCTAAGTAAACATGTTGCAGGTTTAAAAGAGGGACAAAGTGCTGTACTGTGACACGGACATAGCACGTTTAAGAGCCCCTTTAACGAGCTATGATGTCGCGTGTGTATGTTTGAATGGTCTTTATGAGGGTGTGCGTGTTTATGTGCGTGTCTGTGTGTGTATGTTTGATAGCGAGCTGGAGTGAGAGAGAGAGAGAGAGAGAGAGAGAGAGAGAGAGAGAGAGAGAGAGAGAGAGAGAGAAGAGAGGAGAGAGAGAGAGAGAGAGAGAGAGAGAGAGAGAGAGAGAGAGAGAGAGAGAGGAAGATAAATATAGATATATATATATACAAACACATAAACACAAATACCCGTACACACACGCACACATATATTGTAGACAGATAGACACACAGATAAAAAGTTAGATAGATGGGTGGATGGACAGAGAGAGAGAGACAGTCAGGTAGATAATCAGAGACAGGTCGATACAGAGAGAGACATAGCGGGAAAACAGACGTAGAGGCAGTTTCAAACAAAATTACAATATGATAGACACACATAAAATATAACCAGCAAAAGACACGTATAACATATTAATCCCCTTAAATATAATTAATCAGAGGCTGATCTTGGATTTTTCGAGAAGACGGATTTGTCTATTTGAGAAGATGGAACCCCGAATCATATTATATATCTATTGATCTATCTACATGTCCTGTTTATCTATCTGCCTGTCTTTCTCTCTATTTGCCTATCTATCGATCGATCTACCTATCTACCTATTTATCTACCTTCTTATCTATCGATCGATCTATCCATCTGCCTACCTATCTACCTATTTATCTACCTACCTATCTATCTATCGATCAATTCATTTATCTATTTATCGGAATCTATTTATCCACCTACCTATATATCTATCTATAGATCATTGCTGCTGTAGAGGATATTGTACCATGCCACCCCCCCAAAAAAAAAAAAAAAAAAAAATCACCTATTGTATTAATTCAGAGAATCGAGCATCATCACTCACCTGTTTGGGACACCGGATAAGCGGCTCATTGAACACGCAAGCACCCACAAAATTATACTCCATCTATTCCATTTTAACCGAATTTTTCAAAACGCCACTTGTCATAATCGTATTTAGTGAAAGAGAGAGAGAGAGAAAAAGTGTATAAAAAATGATTTATTTTTCCTCCTCTACTAAAAGATATGAAAAATGCGAATTTTGATTTTTTTACGTAAATGATTAGTCGTATGCTAGCAAAATACTTTATGAACTTCATCTTAACCATTTCAATACGTAATAATCGTATTTAGAGAGAAAGAGATTGTTTAAAAAGGTCATTAACCATACGTATTTTAATATTCCCATTAAAAAAAATAATCGTACGCATACTAACATGTTTCATTCGTTCGCACGGGATCACAAAACAGGGTAACAACACTTTAGCCACTGCATACTCATCAATGTCTATTTATTGCAAGTTCCTGCTTTTGATTCGCAACAATTTTAGCAAACGCTTATCGTCCTTGACATATTACTGTTTGTTAAAGGTTTGTAAATAGGGAAATTTACATGTACCATCCGCCCATCAATTTTATTATTATTGAGGTTAACAGGAATCAGGTAATTTTTCGTTATAAATGGAATTGTATATGTGCTTGTATTATTTCAATATTTTGTTTAATGGTATTGTTGTTTGTTATTTTAATTAGTTTTGTTATTCTCATCCTCATCCTCATTCTCGCTATTATTGTTTTACTATAAGAATTATTTTAGTAGCGGGAGGCTATGATGATAATCATAATAATAGCAATAACACTAAAGACAACCATACTGCTATTATCATTATTATTATAGGTATAATGATAAAAAAACAATAATAATGATTATTATCATTATCATCATTATTATTACTAACATCATTATAATAGTCTTCATCATTATTATAATCCTCCTCCTCATTATTATTATTTATTAAAAGGCCCCAATATCTATCAAGCCCCCCCAGAAACTTATCCCTGTACAATCATTAACATTATTTACCAAACCCAACATATTAAGATTTGTATATAACAAAGATATTCCTTTTAGTGACTGAAATAACTATGAATGTAACGCGAGTGCAGACATTCATGAAACAATGCATTTAATTTTGTGTCGCGTGTACATAAAATCCACAGGTGTATTTGATGATGAATATTGTCACTTAGTAAAATGAAGTAAACTTTTGTAAACATTGAATTGATGAGACTTAGAAGCATTATTTTGATTAGACATATATAAAATCAGGTAAAGAAAAGATGTAAAAGTAAAAAAATTCGTATATATGAAAAGTTTGAAATAATCGATCATCTTATATATGAAATGAAGAATGATATTAATGATAATACTAACAAACTTGATTATACAAATATTTTATCAAATTGATATATCAAAATTTAAATCCCAACCGAAGCTCTGTATAGAGATCGGTGTTTGAATAGGAAAGGGGGGAGAAAGGGGGGGGGACAGGTCAGGTAGAGGGGGGTAGGTACTAGGGTTAAGGGGGGCAGGTGATAGGGTGGAGGGGGGGGCGTAAGGAGAGAGGAAGGAGGGGATATAGGCGATAGGATTGAGGGAGGGAGTGGGTTAGAGGAGGAGGGGGGTATAGACGATAGTGGAGAAAGGGGGGGGTAGGTAGAGGGAGGAGAGAGAGAAGGAGTGAGAGGAGGAGAGAGAGAGTAGTGAGAGGGAGAGAGAGAGAGAGAGGTAGGTGAGAGGGAGAGAGAGAGAGTAGGTGAGAGGGAGAGGGAGAGAGAGTAGATGAGAGGAGGAAGAGAGAGAGTAGGAGAGGGAAGAAGGGGGGAGGGGATGAGAGGGGAAGAGAGAGTAGATGAGAGGGAGAAGGGGTGAGAGAGAGGGAGAGGAAGGGGGGAGGGGTAGATGAGAGGGAGAGAGAGAGAGTAGATGAGAGGAGAAGAGAGTGAGAAGAGGAGGAGAGAGAGGTAGTGAGATGAGAGGGAGGAGAGAGAGATAGAGAGAGGAGGAGAGAGAGAGTAGAGTTGAGAGGGAGAAGAGAGAGTAGAAGAGAGGGAGAGGGAGGAGAGAGAGAGTAGATGAGAGAGAGAGTAGGAGAGGAGGAGAGAGAGAGTAGGTGAGAGGGAGGAGAGAGAGAGAGAGTAGTGAGAGGGAGGAGAGAGAGAGAGTAGGTGAGAGGGAGGAGAGAGAGAGAGAGGAGGAGGGAGGAGAGAGAGAGGAGTGAGAGGGAGGAGAGAGAGAGAGAGAGGGAGGAGAGAGAGAGAGTAGGTGAGAGGGAGAGAGAGAAGAGAGAGAGAGAGGGAGGAGAGAGAAGAGAGAGAGGGAGGAGAGAGAGAGAGAGTAGATGAGAAGGAGGGAGAGAGACACGGGCCAGGCGGTAGGGCGGAGGGGGCGGGGTCGGGATGAGGAACCGCCCACACCCTCTATCGCTGGAGCGGAACTTCCTGTTGGCGGATGCGTCGCTCTTCCGGTCCGTCCGCGTACTTATTTATCCGATACGTGTTCCCGTTTTCTATTTTTTTTTTCCCGCCAACTCACTCTCTCTCTTTCCGCCTGAGTTTGCTTTCTCTGCCCGCCATTAGGGGAGTGAGGGGCTACGGGAGTAGTTTTTGTTTTTTATTTTTTTTATTTTCATGTTTGGGTAATTTGTGTCTTGGATGGGTATTTTTTTTGATGTGCTTATTGGTTATTTTGTTGAATCTCTCTGTCTCTCTCTCTCTCTCTCTCTCTCTCTCTCTCTCTCTCTCTCTCTCTCTCTCTCTCTCTCTCTCTCTCTCTCTCTCTTTTAATCTATCTATCTATCTGTCTATATACAAACATGTAAATTTTTTCAATCTTTTCTCAAATTGCATATGGATGCATCTACATATTTCAAAATCATTTAATCATCGCTAAAGACAATTCAATGAATGACCGAGTAATTCAAATAAATTAAAAAAAGTCAGCCATGCAATTCAACTCACCTGTCATGATTGCCAGGCACACCCACGCGAGGCAGAGTGCCAAATTTAAACTTTTTCTTGATAGTTTAAACATGATGCCTATATTCTATTTTTCCTTAAGCCTGTAATCCTCTACTAAATGTTTTTTATTCACTAATCGTCGAAATTAAATAGTATTTGGCACCGTCACATAATGTCAATATCTTATAAAAATTCCTAGTTTTATTTATTATACAGTTCTGAAATAAAAAGAAACATGCATATTTAAACTAAAACATATATATAGCCACAAAGCGAGAAACAGGAATCAGTGTCAAACTAAAAGGATTAGGGAAAGAGTTTCTCGCTTTGAAAATAGGCATATTAAACCAGTGCATGTTTCACTAATCTTCTTTCAGACACCGTAGGGTTTCTGGTCGTCATGGTAACCAGATACTTGCGAATCTCAGAAAATAGAAAGGCTTCTTCGCCATTGACCCAGTGACGTCATTTACCGTGGGCTACGAGCACACATTTATTTTTTTCACTTTTTCAGGATCACTTTTAAATTTGTCTTTTTTTAAGGATGTTTATTAACATTTTTTTTTATGTTATCTTAGAATGTTTTAGGAAAACAATGATATATTACTATTTTTTCTAAGAGATGAGATTTAATCTAACAAATTTGGAATATTTACTCAAAAGAAATTATAAAAAATCTTTAAAACCGCCTTGAATATAAAGCAAATTAATCATATAAGCAGTTCTTTTTCTATTAAATAAACACTGGAAATACACAATATTAGGAGCCATTATTTCCATCTTTGGATCTCATATAAAATCCACGCCGTATAAGAACACACCATTGGCACTGTAGCTCGGCACTGTTTTACTCTGGCACTTTGGTTCCTATTTTCACTGCCAGTTATGTAAAAATCGGTTGTCAGGCTTTGCCAAAATTCTCTGCATTTTCAGCATTTAAGTTCTCGTTTTAGCACAAATATCGTGTATAGATTTGTGATGTTTTTTTTTCTTTCTTATTCCCATTTTTATTCATATTTCTTTCTGTGTTAAGTATCGCTCCTCGCTTTTATCCCAGCGATGACAGATCAATCAATGATTGATAATTCTAATCACAGTTTTTCTTTTATTTATTATTTCTGTTCCTTAATTACATTCCCAGATTTATATCACTTCTTTATATAGTTTTTCTCTATATTTAGTTCAGGAGATCAAGTGGAAACGGAGATATCAATTCAGTAATTTCACTATTTGGGAATACATCACTATTATTTTCCTCTTATCATGAGATATCAAATTCCTTATCACTTTAAGTCACTTACAGAGAGAGAGAGAGAGAGAGAGAGAGAGAGAGAGAGAGAGAGAGAGAGAGAGAGAGAGAGAGAGAGAGAGAGAGAGAGAGAGAGAGAGAGAGAGAGAAAGAGAAAGAGAAAGAAAGAGAAAGAAGAAAGAGAAAAAAAAAAAGGAGAAACAGAAACAGAAAAAAGAAATAAAGAAAAAGAGACAGAAAAACCAAACAACAAAACCAAATATGCAAAAGTCCTCCAAAGCGACCGACAACGAAACACACACAAACAAACACACACACAGCAGCCACGGGAGGGACCGCCAGTCGGAGCGGAGCAAAGCGGGCAACTGAACACGTGCCAG